AGAGCACAAGAGCTTTCTAATGATGTATCATTTGTCATATTTGGACATAAAACATGGGATTTAGAGGGGGGGGTCAAATTGACCCCCCCCAGCGTATCCTGGTTTTCAAGTACCCCAGCGGGGATAGGGTTAACGATTCTTAACCCTTAAGTTCCGTATCAGCCTCCCATTAGAGTTGATATCCGAGCTATTCCCTGGTATACCTTGACTATCTGCCCGGATATGCCCTTTAAAATCCCCTGCCAGTGAACATGTATACCCGTCTTCCCTGGGGATAGTGATTTTAGCTTGTAGCATTGCACACAGCTTTGCATTCCAAACGTCAAAGTTTTCCCTGCCGACCTCAGCTGCTAGATACACAAAGCAGATTGCTACATTGCTATTTTCTCATGTATTAGTATCCACTCTCATACCGTAAATGGTTAAGGCCTGGCTTAATTATGGTTAGTATTCCTCCACCTTTCTTCTCTTTACCAAGTCTCTCCTTGGAGTACCATGTGAATTTGTCTAGACAAGCAAGATCTTCATTTGACCCCTGTCTCAGATGCGTTTCACTTACCTTAAGAACATGAATGTTATTGTCCTCCATGACCTCCACAATCATGTCTTGTTTTTGGTCTCTTATGAGCCCATTGCAGTTCCATATTTCACAGTTAATGCTGTTAGGCACTCATAATGTGCCTTGCAAATTCCTGCGTCTTTCGACCCGTTTAGACCGACGCCTGTTCCCAGGCTTCCCCATCACTTGGTTATAGAGGATACTTTCTGAAAAAAAGTAGATCATGGATGATAAGAAACAAATATGTTTATGCATGTATCTTACCTCAAAAAACGCATCCTTAAACTCAATAGTACACACTAAAGTTAACTTGTCCCAACATTTATCATGTCCCACCCATAGTATTCCGAATAGGAAACAGTCAGGGGGGGGGGTGGCCACCTGCCCCCACCACTGTGCAAATCCCCTGGCTAAGTTAGGGACCTAGAAAATGCTAACATTTGATTTTAACTAATATACCATGGCATTAAGTTGCACAAAAAAGTACTTATTTAGAAAGTATTTTGTACCTAGAAAATTCAAACTACAGACTCAGTCAAGGGGGGATGACTGTACCCCCCCCCATAATCGGCCCTGAAAAGTGCATTTTCTTGAGCATCACTGGATTAATTGTGACCTTATATAGCTCCACCATTGTCAAACCCTATTTGTTCAGTTGTTCCCAGATTTAATTAAACTGACAACTAGAAAAATAAAGGCCAAGACTAAATAATGAGGTTAAGAAATTAAGGAATAGTACCGTAACTGTGTTATTTTTACACCCGGACTTAAGTTAAAAAAGAATTCGTTAAATTTTCCAAATTAAGGTAGAATGACAAGTTTAAAAACAAAGATTAGCACACCGGAGTTAAAAACAAAAACCACAAACTTAGTCTAACTACAGACTCAGTCAAGGGGGAGACAAAAGTACCCCCTCCCCCCTGTAATCTGCCCTAATAAATACATTTCCTTTGATCATCACCAGATTAGTTGCTCCACCATTAATAAAACTTACTTGTTTAGTGGTCCCAGATTAAATTTAAAACTAAATTATAGGCCAAGGTTAAGCAATTAGGTTAAGAAATTAAGTAGTAGAAACGTTATTGTGTTTATTTAAAAGTTTTCAAAAAGGAATTTGTTAAGTTTTCCTGATTAATTAGACCAACAAGCAATTAAATACTAATACGTTAATGTATTGCTTTAAACACCCGGGTTCACAAGTTTTAAAAAGGAATTCGTTTAATTGCCCTGATGATTCTTAATACAAAGACTAGCACAAACTTAGTCATAAAAGAGAATGGGTGGGTGGTCCCTCTCCCTGCACCCGTCCCTGTTAAGCGCATTACACGGCCTTGAGTAGCTCAAAATAATTAATAAAGATTGGTTGTATTTTCAGAATAATGTAAATTGAAAGCCAATGATTCTAAAAACCACACTGAAGATTTTGGTTCTCCATATAATTTTTAAAACAAACCGACAGTAAGAATAAACAACAGATTTAGTCAAATAAAAGGGACTTGTTGAATATTTCAAAGGGACTGTTGAATGAACTAGAATTAATTAAAGGGACTGTAGAATAAGCTAAAGGGACTGTAGAATAAATTAAAGGGACTGTAGAATAATTAAAAAGACTGTAGATTAAATTAAAGGGACTGTAGAAAGAATTAAAGAGACTGTAGAATAAATTAAAGGGACTGTAGAATAAATTAAAGGGACTGTAGAATAAATTAAAGGGACTGTAGAATAAATTAAAGGGACTGTAGAATGAATTAAAGGAACTGTAGAATGAGTAAAGATAAGGTCTACACCCAACAAATTTAAATTCAACTAAATAAGTAATAAAATTCAAGTAACACAAGTCTTCTGGCATTGTTTAAACCACAAAATCAAGTAATAAAAACCACTATACTCCAAGGACTGCTCGCCTGATCCATACTAAATATTTTCAACTGTTTTTAAACATATTTCGTATAATGGAATAAAAAACTTCAAATAAAATCGCAACAAAAAGGTTACTGTATAAAAAGTTACCATAAAACATTTTATCAATATGCCTTAAAATCTTTACTATAAACCCACTGGTTATAATAGAAAGCTGGAAACCGGACTACATGAATCATTTTAAACCGAAAGTTTATAATAGGATAATCTATACTGTTTACTTCACGAAAAAATCAATCCAGTCCTTTTATAGGTTTAAACTTATGATATGATTCACAATTAAAGCTGGGTATATATCACGGATTCTCACAGACAACTCCACCTTCCTCACAATGAGTTATAATATGATTCACAAGGAAAGCTGGGTATATATCACGGATTCCACAGACCACTTCACCTCCCTCACAATGAGTTACATAGTGCGTCTTGAGCTTTTCCCTTTTTCCCCTTTCTCTACTCTAGGGTACTTGTCCCTGACCTCTCTGCTCCTGCTGCTGCTGCTGCTCTTCTCACCCTTCCTGGACGACCCCTCCCAGCTGTTCCTTCTCTTGGTTGCTCCCCGGTGCAACCGCTTCTGAGCATATTCATAGCGATCATCCACAGTGAAAAAATGGGTAAATTCGTTAGGGTCAGCATAATACAATTTCATCATACAATTTCTTCTATGTATCTATAAAAACGCTACCCTAAAAAAACGCTACACTAAAAAAACGCTACACTACAAAAACGCTACACTAAAAAAACGCTACATAGGCTATATTCGCTACAAGTTTATTGTCTATTTCTGTTTGTGTATAAGATTTTAAAATTCACATAGTCGTGAATTGAAAATAAATCATAAGTTTATAATTTAAGAGATATATATTTTTAAATTCTCATAGTCATAAATGGAAAAATTTTAAGTGTACCACATATTATTACAGTCATTCATTCTTGAATGGGCAATTAATTTTATTTTTATGACATTTTACATATACATAACGGCCACAAATGCACCTCTTTGAGCCTCCCTTACGTTTAAAATTTAAATTACAAAGATGACAAATTCTGGTGATGGTCTGGTCTGGATGAGTAATATCTGTTGTATCCGACAGTTTAGTTCTTTTGGGGCTGGAATTATCTAAAAATAGAAATACTTAGGAAATATTCATTGGAAACAAATGTTGATTATAAGCATTAATATATTTTTCATCATATTACCTAAAATTGTTGTGGACTTTCTTTTTGTTCTGCACTGGGTCGATGGTTTGTTTTGATCTAATCTCTCCTGGAGCAAGGTTGGAGTTACATGCATAATTGCAGAACTATGGATCTCAGACTGTTGAATTTGCTCAACATCTGAGTTGACAGATCTCAGTGTCATCCTGGCAACCTGAGACTCAAACAATCGATATGTTGAGTTATTCATCCTATTGTAATGCTTCATTATAATGCTGGAATCAGTTGGAGTAATGGACTGATAATGTCCAGATAGAAAAAATGTTTCTTCAAACCATAGAAGAGTTAGTGGAGCACTATATGGAACTCGATTATCAGAGCGAAGTAAACAATACTGTTTACAGATATGGGCAGAGATTTCAAATACAGGGATATACAGAATATCACGTCCAATTAAGTTTGAAAAAATTTGTAGACAGCACTCATCTCCGAATTCACCAAACTCGCGCATTCTATCTAACCAGTCTTCAATTGGTTCATCTTCATTTATCCAGATTATTCTCTCTGTTTCAAGTTGTTCTAGTAGGTTGAGGACTACAGCAGATCTAACAGATTTATGACAGTTATAAGGTGTACCTGGATCTAGTTGAACAAGCTGATAAGCTAAACTGTGAAACATACAGTTTCCATCAGAAGGAGTTATTGGTTGAGTTAATGAGAAAAAAAATCCGGTTTTTGATAATCTCTGTTCAGCCTTTTTCCATCCTTCTTGAAGTTGTAATAGTCCACCGGTTTGCTGCCCAGACTTAGATAAATCAGATATAACAATCGGACAATTATCCTTGTTTGAGCTATCCTTGTTTAATGATACATCTATATTTCGATAAATTTTCTTAGATTTACTTAGAATTGCAGCAGCAACCGAAGTTGCAGTTATTGCAACTGCTAATTCTGACAAACTAGATTCACTATCTTCCATTAACCTTCTTTGTCTCAATATATCGCCTGTTTCAATATTTTCTCTTGATGTTTCGATTATTTGTGGGTTTTCAATATTACAAATACTTTGTCTATCTCCAGGAACAGGAATCTGCCTTTTGTTTTTTCGTTTTCCAGGTTTCTTTTTATGTGGATTATTAATGGGAGAGGAAACTTTGGACTGAACAGGTTTACTTAGTGAGTCATTCATATCAAATATATGGATTAGGATGTTTGCTGATTATTATTTTGCTCCCAAGAGCATAGTTATAGCCCTCGGCCAAGTTATTTGTCCTTGTTTTAACTTTAAACATATTCCAAATATTTAAGTCCAATTTTAACCAAAAAGATTCTATGTAATTCAGCATTGAAGTGTCAAAATCTCTACATTTTTTGGTTTTTAGTTGACTGGACACTTTTCTAATGTTTTTACTCCTTTTAATATGTCTTCAGTTTTCAAAAAAGGAAGTCCAATCATCAATCTTACAAAAGAGCCAAGCTTGGGTTCATCACTTTTTTTTTAATAGTATTTTTGCATACCACTTTTTTTAACTCTTGACCAGATGGCTTTTGCATAATGAAAATAACAGCCTTTAACAGGAACATTTGGGAATGTTTCCTCAAAAGTTTGCCTGATATTTGTTTCAAAGTCAGATACAAATGAAGAAGCAGAAAGTTCAAGATCTCTAAGGTTCAAGGATTCTCGAAAACACTCAAAAATGTCTTGATAACTACGTTCTTTTAACAAAACAAATCATTTTTTTCAGCTAAGTAATGTGTATCCCACTTAAAATACTATAAGTAAAAAAATAAATATGTTTACATATAATTTTTTACCTGGTTTTCTTATAAAGAGCTGGGATTGCCTGGCAAGGATCATTTCTCAGCTCATCTAATACTTGTTCGTGGAACTTTGAAACTTGATCTTCTATACCAGATAAAACACATGCATGATTGTCTGGATGAGGATAGGAATCAGGCTCCAGATGATATTCGTCATCTTCCTCTTGTTCTTGGAGCAGTACAGTAGCGAAACAACTTGTATATGTTTTCATCCGTTCACAGGAAGTACAAACAAATTGAGCCCTTACTTTGCCAGCCGATTTCTTTCCAATAATAAACATAGCTTCCTTCTTTCAGTTTAACAAACACTTTTTTAACAGTAATTTTTGTCTTAACACCTTTGATAATAATGGTTTTAGTTCCATCCTGCACAGTTTTAGAGAAATCATGTTCAGGAAGACTTGGTAAAGTGTTTACAATATATGTAAAATAAACTAACAGAATCAAAGCTCTTAACATGGTTGCTGAATAATTACTGAATTAAACAATGTGTATAGAGAAAAGGTGTATACTGTGTGGTGACCGCCAACCTGTATATACGGATTGAGGGGGGAGGGGAGTAGTACGATACTGAACAATACCTTGAACTGTGTGGTGACCGCCAACCTGTATATACGGATTGAGGGGGGAGGGGAGTAGTACGATACTGAACAATACCTTGAACTTGTTACCATGTGACCAAATTAAAACAATATATAAATTATATATATTTTATATATATTTTATTTATTTATTTAAACAATGTATATAAAGAAAAAGTGTATACTGTGTGGTGACCACCAACCTGATTGAGGGGGGAGGGGAGTAGTACGATACTGAACAATACCTTGAACTTGTTACCATGTACATGGATATGAAAATTTTTATATATATTTTATTTTAGAATAGTAGCGAATATATATCTCTATAAATTATAAACTTATACACACACAGAAACAGGCAATAAACTTGTACCGAATATAGCCTATGTAGCGTTTTTTTAGGGTAGCGTTTTTTTAGTGTAGCGTTTTTTTAGTGTAGCGTATATATAGTATGACCTTTCTTCCGTAGTACTGGATTCTATGCCCTATCAAATCACATTTCTTACATTTAGTGGTTTGATCAGTACATCTGTCGAATGGGTGCTGGTCCCCTCCACACCCCTGGCATTTAACCCTTTGTTTACATTTATTAGCCAGGTGACCCACTTACCTACAGAAATAACAGACCCTAGTATCCTTACTTGCTTGTAGAGACGGAACTGTCCTGGCTGAGGGCTCCTGTTGTAGTAGCAGATCCAGTTTATTCTCAATGCAGGATAATAATGCCTCGTTTGCCTGATTCTGTTTCCGCATTTCATGCTTCATCTTGTCCACAACTGCATCAGCTACTCTATTGACTAGGTCCTCTGAATTAACCCGTATCTCAGCTGCAGGAGGGACATGAGGCGGAGTCAAGACATCATCAATACTCAGTAGCTCCTGCTCAAAGTCCATCATTGAGCCATCCTGGGGCACATTTGTCAGGTCGTCAGATGACTCAGGCTCCTCTGGCTCGTCCCCCGCCTGTGCAGTCGACAGTGCTCTGAGCGAGTTCAACCATGACAAGAATACGAATTATGCCATTGAATTAGTTAAAAAACCATTAATTCAACTTCAGAAAATCGATCACCAATCAATCCATGTATATTGTATTACCCTGCCAACTATACCACTGACTAGAGTTTAACACCAGTAATAAATAAATAAACAATTATCAATCAATCAATACCATCACAGCAAATTAAGGAATTAACTAAGCCATTAAAACCTCTTTTTGTTACCCCATATCTCGATTGAAATACTTTTCAATGCTATGAGAGGGTGTGATAAGTTGCATTTCCCTGGTATCACCGTCAATTATACCATTGATAAGGTTTAGCATACCAGTGTATGAACATAGATGCATATCAGTCAATCAATCAATCCCACAGACTCTCCGTTGAGCGAGTAAAGTCTAACTAAATCCGGTATATAGCTGTACAATCAAGAACTAATTAAGCCATTAATCCCTTTATTTAGCTAGTAGAGCGGAGTGGGGGGGGAGGGGGTCATTTTCCTAATAATTGTACAGTTTACCCATCAATATCCCATCAATCTTATAAATCCACTAAAAACCTTGACAAAATGACCTTCATTAGTGGGGAATTTACTCGACTAAAAATATAGCAAGGGGGGTTGCCTACCCAGATAGCCAAATTGCGCAAAAAGAGCGCAAATTAAACGTCACTTTTTGCATTTTTACGTAAATTTTACGTAGAGATTTTGGTTCTTTTTACGTCATGAAAGACGTAAAATCGCACACTTAGCTACGCAAATTTATTGGTTTTAGTATACGTAAAATTTACGTAATAATATTATACAAATTTACTTCGAAAATGTGCATTATTGTTTTCTCAATAAACACGTTGGCTCTCTTTCACCAAAAGTTATGCTAAATCTAAGCAAATTTGATGCATGCAAATTGCCATCAATCCCTGCAGTTGGATGGATGGATGCAGTATAAGTATCTCTCTCTAAACTGATTCCATTCATCAGGGAATACAATTTAACATAGAGATTACTGCTTCTAGCTTTATAATTAGTATGGAGTTATAAAAGTTATATAAATTTTTCTGCAGTGCACTTTCAGTGCATTTTCCTAATAAAAATGTTTTTTAAAAAAAATTAAAAATAATTTAAAACCTAAATCTTGACTTCTAAATGATATACTTTTAGTAAAAAATTTAATCTGTACCTTTTTCTTTTTTTAAATTTTACGTAAAAAAAACAGAGACACCTAGTGGTAAAATTTGGTACTAAAAACCAGTGTTCTATGTAGCACTTTAAATTCTCTGCCCAATTATCCCCCCCCCTTCCCACTCTTATCTACAAATCACACGGCTTTCTATTTAATATAACATTATATATTGCTGCACTCTGCACTGCAGTGCACACACACCTAGGCCACTCAATTCTTCAATATTTAAAACACTCAAAA